AGCTGCCTAATGCACAAAATATTTCACGGACAACCATGCTGAGGTGTGGATAATTGAATTGATGCGCTTTCCACCATTGCAAAGGATCTTCGTTCCTTGGAAGAAATGCTTCTTCAAGGTAACAATTTACCTCTACAATGGCTCTTGATGTTGCTGTACCTATTCTTGGTGTATTTCTTGCAACTGTTACGTCAGTATAATTCCACACGCACAATTCATCTGCATCTGTAGTGACCATTGGTGAATGTGGTGTGGTATCAACATTATGGTTGACTTTTGATGCAACCAGTGCAATCACTTTCTGCTTGGCATTTTCTGAAATTTGTTTATCAGAGAATGCCAGCATCTTAAAGCGAGGATCAATAAATGTGCAGACCATCAATGTTGTGCTTTGTTCCAGGCTTCCAAAGCGTTCTTGTATTGATCTAAGGTAGCACTCTATCACATGCTGCACCTCCTTGCAAAATGATTTTTTCAGCAGAATGTTGCAAACATTCTTCAGGCCAATTGCAAGTGGGATGATTAGAGATGCTGTGGCATACTTTTCTCCACTCATTGTTTTTGTGACTGACTGGAATGGTTTGAGGACTTGTATCAATTCCCGGATTATCTTCCAGTCTTCAAAAGACAAAACGGGAAGATCTTTATCAATTAATGCTATTGTAGCTTTAAGTGATTCCTCCAGTAGTGCAAATCATTCTAACATGTCATAAGTCGAGTTCCAAAGAGTTGGTACATCGAGAATCAACTTGAGTGCTTGCCTGCCAGTGTTATTTTGTTGGTAAGTTATGAGTTTCTCATTAGCATTAGTACTCCTCTTGAAATGAGAAACTGTTGTTCTTACTTTTTAAATGATTCTTTGGACATTAGGAATTTGCAGTCCTTCTTTCACTATTAAGTTAATAGTATGTGGGAAACATCCCAAATGCTTCCATTTTAAATACTGTGTTATAGCAGAATTAATATTTGAAGCATTGTCAGATACAGTCAGAACAATTTTCTCATTAATTTCCCATTCATGAGCAATTTTCTTTAACTCATTTGCCAAATTTTCACTTGTGTGCTGACCATGCATCTCAGCACACTGTAGAAGTACTGATATGAGATTAAAATTCTCATCAATAAAATGAGCTGTGACTGCTATGAAGCTCTGTCTATGCATAGAAGTCCAGCAATCAGTGGTTAGACACACCTTTTTTGCTTTGCTGACCAAGCCTTTTGTACAAATTTTATATTCTTCAAACATGGCTGGTATTATTGTTCTGGAAACTGCATGTCTGGTTGGTAACCGATATGCTGAATTCAAAGCAGCCACAAATCCTCTGAACCCTATATCTTCCACTATTTTAAATGGTTGATAATCTTTAATGAACATCATCATTAGTTTGTCATCAGTTTTCTTTGCAGCACTTGCTGACAACTTTTTAGGGACATGGAATGAAGTAATTGTGCTTTGGCGGAGAGATTTTGATGTTTGGAAGCTAGGCCTATTACTTGCAGGTCTGTCAGAAGTATTTGGCTGGCTTGAAGCTGACACAGATTCTGAACTCGATATCTGAATATTAGGCACATCAGAAGGCTGAATAGGAGACATAGAAGAGGGGTCATCAGAGTCTTCTAAGGAGGGATCCTAAAAGAG